TGCCAGGCAGGGCCGGAGTGGGGAAAAGCCATCTGCCTTCCCTGCTGGACTTGCATGAGCGTCCACTCTTATGTTTCCCTTGGGTGCCCTGCAAGCAGGTGGCACTCAACGGATGCCTGCTGGAGTGCATTCGTCCCAGGAGGGAGGGAACCAGGAAAAACCAGCTCCCTAGAATTCTTCCCCCTGGGGTGGAACAGCCCCCACATGCCCAAACTTGTCCCCAGATTTAAGCAGCTTTCCTCGATCACGTAATCAGGAGGATGGGATTTGACAGGCGTGTGCCAGGGTTTCCATGAGATCAGGCAGGGCCGTGGGGTACTGATGAGGTAAGGATGGGCCCTTCCACCCTGCACAGTGGGGGGCGGGGCAGGGGGATGGTGGGGGAGACTCCCACATCCCCAGTTGAATCCAGGATTCTCAGAGAAAAGGCACCTGTCATTCACTTAGTCATGCAATTTGCTGTTTCCTGAAGCCTTACTTTGTGCCAGGTGCTTGACTCAACTCTATCATTCTCACAATAACCCAGTTAAGATCCTCATAGGTAGGTAAGGAAAGTGAGGCTCAGAAAGGCCGAGTAACTTGCTCAAGCTTGCCCAGCGAATGAGCGAAAGGCCTGGGAGTCCACCTCCTGATCTGTCTGATGTCACAATGCACACTCTTTCCATGCCCCACCAGCTCCTGATAGGTGGGAGTGGATTTGGCTGCCCCGACTGAGTCCCCAGGGGCCATCAGAGCAGAATGTGTGACCTTCCGGATGGCCCTGTTTCCTAGAGAGCCCGGAGTCTGTCAGAGGCAGAGAAGAAGGTTTGGGGGACTTTGGCTCAGCCCTGTGTCTCCTCACCCTCCTCGGGACCCCTGCACCTTGTAACTCAGCCACTCTCTACACTACACAGCTCTCATCACCCCCAGACATGACTGTTTCTTGCTTCATCTTGCTTTCTTACTCTGTTCCCCCACCAGCAGGTCAGTCATTTCTCTGTCTTGCTCCCATCTGTGTCCCCAGTACCTGGCACACAGTAGGTGCTCAATAAATTCTTGTTGGATGAGCGACTAGGTGAATGGTTTCTAATCCTGCTCTTTGGGCCCTGAGATTCCGATCCTCCCCTCCATCCATCCTGCCACAACTACTATCTGTGCGTGGACTACATACAGTCTAGCGTATGTGTTTAAACACAGGGTTTGGATGCTTAAGACAAAAACATTTGAAATCCGCTGCTTTACATGGACGCAGTGGTGACACACCGCGTGTGGGCATGTTCACACTTATGTGGAAACTTCCTGGGTTGAGCCCCAGATTCCTGCCTGGTGCCACGAAGAAGCATACGGGACCATACAGGACGTTCACGCGCAGAGAAGCGCTGGAGGACTCTGCCTCTCCCCTGCCAGCCCCCCTCCTTCTCGCCTAAGTCTGGCAAGGGCTTGGAATGTGTAATTACAGCCTACAGGGCAAATTAGAACAGGGAGGGAACTCTTTCCCCTGACCACGGAGAGCAGGGCAGTGTTTGGGGAGGGAATTGCCACAGAGCAGCGTGTGTGTGTGTGTGTGTGTGTGTGTGTGTGTGTGTGTACACGTGTGCACTGGTGTGTACACATGCTTGGGTGGTGTGGTGCGGAAGGAATGCAGGGTTAGGGTCCAGAGGCCGTTTGCTCCCCGGGTGGCCTGTTGGAGCCTCAGTTTCCTCAGCTGTACAGTGGGAGCAGTAGCCCAGCTTTTGCTCACCAGACTCCGGAAGATTAACTGAGGGCACGGCTGGGAATTTGGTGAATTTTAACATGGGACACGAATGCCAGGCTGTAGTACTACCTATATATGCATAGGAAGGGGGTGCAAAGGGGACATAACGGTGCTGATGGCGAACAAGGCATTTTTCAAGGGCTTCATCGGTGCCCAAGAGACACCCGACTCGCCTTATGTCCTAGCAGCCCTACGGGATAGACGCTGTTATTGCAAGCCTCATTTTAGGTAGGGAAACTGAGGCTCTGAGAGATCAGCATGGGCTGGGAGTAATAATCCTTACCTCTCAGGGCTGTTGTGCAGCTTGAACAAGATACTGTAAGGGCTCAGCATTGTGGCACCTGGCACCCAGGCTGTACCCAGTCAACTGAGGGGTTAGGGTAGCCCAGGCTCTGTAGCCAGCTGCTCAGATTTGAATCCTGGCTCTGCTGCTAACCGGTTGTGTGGCCTCAGGCAAGGCACGTCACCTGTCTGAGCCTCAGTCCCCTCTGCTGTAAACTGGGAATTGTAGCAGTGCCCACCTACAGGGGCAGGATTGCCCAGCCTCAGCTCTGCTGACCTTTGGGCTGGACCATTCCTTGTGTTGGGGACTGTCCTTGCATTGTAGGATATTTAACAACATTCCTAGCCTTGACCCACTAGATGCCAGTAGCCCTCTGTCCCCTGCACAGTGTGACAACCAAACATGTCCCAGGCCATCGCCGAGTGTCCCTGGGGAGCAGATGGGCCCCCGCTGGGAACCGCTGGTCTAGGGTTGCAGTGGGGATTGGGTGAGAGCACGTGTGAAGCATGTGGGCGGGAGCCTGGCACAGAGTGACAGCAACAGAATCCCGATGATGATGGATGTGTATTTCATAATTCTTATTTCATCACAATTAAAATGCTAATAATGATGATCACCGTGTGCCTTGCCCAAGGCTATAAGCCATGAGTGAGTGGCTGGGAGGGGATTTGAACCCCAGGCTAGCTGACTTCAGACCCACAGGTGTGGAGCCCCCAGAAACCCTGGGTGCTATCTGGGTTGGGGTTCCTTAGGGTGCAGGCATGGGGAGGATTTGGAAAGGCCCTCCCAGCTGATTCCTCTGGCCTTGGGAGCTCCCTGAGCTGGGGAGTAGTGTCCATTAATCCCTGCCCCAGCGGGGGAAGGGGTGACTTGGTTGGGAAGGGGTGCAGTAATTAGGAGGGTGTTGACAGCAGAAGCATGTGCCCAATACCTCCTCTCCGCCTGACCCTGGCGTCCCCAGTGAGGCGGACAGGGCTGTGTCCAGAGGAGTCTAATTCCTCTCTCAAGACCTGTACCTCCAGCAGCTACCCCTCCCTGCCTCAGCCTGCCCCACATTCCTGCAGAACAAAGCCCGAACTAGTGTGGCAGCTACTAGGGGCCAAGGATCCAGGCCTCCCCCTCCCACCTGGTATGGTAGGTGGATGGGAACCACTGTCTCCTGTGGTCCTACTAGGTGCCAGCACTGAGTGGGTACTTCAAATTCCTGAGGTCACTGGTATCTCCCAAGAACTCTAGGAGGAGGTGTGGCCACCCCAGTTTTACAGGTGGGGAAACTGAGGCTCAGAGAGAGGAAGTAATTGGCCCAAGATCACACAGCTATTAGTTACCAGGGCCAGGAAAGAACCATATATATCTGATTTCAGAACCTGTGCTCCTAACCTTTCTTTCCTCCTTTGATTATAATCACTGACAGCCTCTAATTTAACCTCAAAGTCAGCAACGGACATGCTTGATCTCATTTCACTCTTCCTGCAAATCTATGAAAAAGCTACTACAATTGTACCCACTTCACAGACGAGGAAACTGAGCCTCGGGTAGCTAAATGACAGGTACATAGCAGAGCTGGAGTTAGAACCCAGGCCTGAATGACTGTAAAGTCCAGGTTCCCCTTCCACATTGTGCCCAGAGTGGGACCAGTCCCTGGCCGTAGCAATGACATCTGTGTGCCCCGCTGAGCCCACCAAGAGAGGCCTCTTGGAGTGCGCCCGCCTTTTCTGGCCCAAGCCTTCTCTCTTGGCAGCCACAGAACAAACAAAGTGGGAACCCATCTTTATTTGTTCCTCTGCTAATGTGTCCGGGCAGAAGGGAGACATAGAAAAGAGGGCTTCTCAGACATCTCCCCGCAGCCTGGGTGGGATGGTGAGAGTTCCAGGCAACTCGCCCTCGGTACCCAGCCCCACCTGCCCAGCATAACATGCTGCAGAGGGCAGGAGGCCACCAGCCAGCCAGCAGGGTCTTGCCCATCCCTGCCCTTGCTCCTGGCTGAACACTGGGCCTGGAGCCAGAGATACCTAGGTTCAAGTCCAGCTCTTCTCCCTCTAAGCTGTGACTGCCTTTCTTGAAGCTCCAATTTCCTCAGGAAATTGGAAACAAATAATACCTTTGTCGTAAGGTTGTTTTGTCTTATGGTGCACTTCTAGGTGCTGGGAACGCAGGCGTGAACAAGACAAATGCAGCCTGGGAATTAACTAATCCCGCAAACAAATGGTCAGGGAGGGCTTCCCAGAGGAAGGGGGAGTTGAGCTGGGGACCCAGGAGGGCAGGAGTTAACCAGGCGAAGAGTGCAGGGAAGGGACCGGCACTTGGCACCGGGAGCAGCGTTTGTGCCTGGGGGCAAGTCAGCTAACAGTCTTGGAGCCTTGCTTCCCTTTTCTGGAAAGTGGGGGTCCTCATGATGGTGCCAGATGAGGAAATTGAGGACTTCTGGGTTCAGTACTGAGGACACAGGCTTCACGGGATTTTCTGAGCGCCAGCTGCGCCTCAGGCATGCAGGTAATGGTTATATTTTAGTAGGTGCTGACTGTGGGGCCCCACACTTTGACGCCCCCATTTTACAGGTGAGAAGACCAAGGCTGTGGAATGCTGACTGGCCAATCGTCACACGGTTGCTAAGTGTGGAGCCTGGCTGTGAGCCCTGCTTTGTGGGGCTCCAAAGCTGGTTAGGTTGGTCAGGAGTCAGCTTCAGGCTCCAGGTTCGGGGTCCCAGTGTGACTCGGAGGCCCTTCCTCCTCCAGCTAATGCTCAGGATAGCTGGACCTGAGGCTGACTCACATTTCCAGGTCCCTGAAAGAGGCTCCTGTTGCAGGTCTTGCCTGGGGCCGGCGGCCAACCACATCTGGGAGTGGCTCCCCCACAGCTCTGTCATTACAACGGTGGCTTTGAAGCAGCTGGCAGCAGTGCTATTTGCCCATGTGGGGGGGCTTCCTGGATCCCCCACCCCTGGCCGGGCTCTGCCTGACTCGCCTCCTGTTCCCATTGCAGGCCAAGCAGTGCAGACAAGTTGGGATCAGCATGGCGGACCCCAGCGAAAGCCCCCACACAGGGCCTGCGGAGGTGGCCGAGCCCCCCGGGGATGAGAATGGCATACTTGGTGGGGAGGCCTTCCCTCTCTCTTCTCTGGCCAACCTGTTTGAGGGGGAGGACGGCTCCCCCTCGGCCTCAGCGGCTGATGCTGGGCGCCCCTCCGGCCCAGGCGATGGGCGGCCAAACCTGCGCATGAAGTTCCAGGGTGCCTTCCGGAAGGGGGTACCCAACCCCATTGACCTGCTGGAGTCCACCCTGTACGAGTCCTCAGTGGTGCCCGGGCCCAAAAAGGCACCCATGGACTCGCTCTTTGACTATGGCACCTATCGTCACCACCCCAGTGACAACAAGCGGTGGAGGAGGAAGGTCATGGAGTGAGTATTGCTGGCTGCCTGGCCAGTGGTCCCCTCCTGTGTGTTGAATTTATCCACCCATGCATCCATCTATCTATCCATCGATCCATCCATCATCCATCCATCCATCCACCCATCTATCCACCTATTTATCCATCCATCCATCCACCCACCCATTCATCCACCTCATCCATCCATCCATCCATCCATCCATCCGTCCATCCATCATTTTTCTTTCTTTTTTTTTTAAGATTTTTATTGGGGAATTGGGGGATGGGAACAGTGCTGGGGAATTGGGGGAAGGAGAACAGACAAGTTGCTGTCCTTTTGTTCTTCAGTCCAGTTGTGGAGGAAGTTGCTTCACTGGCCCAAGTTGGCACCATCATTGCGCTCTTCCCTGGTGAGGCAGATCAGTCGCTGGCTGCTGGCTACACACGGTAGCCCATGGCAACCTCACAGCAGCCCAGCTCCAGGTTGAGCCGTTGTTCAGCATCTTAGCTGTAGAAGGCAGTGTCACTGGCCCTCATATGTGGGATCCGAACCGGGGCCCTCTGGCATCCCAAGCCAGTTCTCAACCATCGCGCCACTCGGCTGGCCCCATCCATCATTTTTCCATCCATCCATCCATCCATCCATCCATCCATCCATCCATCCATCCATCCATCATCCATCCATCATCCATCCATCCATCCACCTATCTATCCATCCATTCATCTATCCATCCATCCACCCATCCACCCACCTCTCCATCCTTCCATATACTTATCTGTTCATCCATCCATCATCTACTCATTCATTCATCCAGCTACCTATGTTTCCACCTGTGCATCCACTTGTCTAATCCATCTGTCCATCATCAGTCAAATATCCATTTACCCATCTGTTTATCTGTTATTTATTTGTCCAGCCCTCTACTCATACAGTCAACCTCTCGTTCATTCACCACTTATTCATCCATCCATCCATCCTCTCATCTACCCACTGTTTCTATTCATCCAACCAGTCAGTTATCTATCAAACTATTCATCATTTATTCATTCATTTCATTTCTAATACTTATCTAATTTCCCTCCCTCCCAGCTGTCTGTTCATCCATTTGTTCATTCACCCCTTCATTTGCTCAATCACTGACTCACTCATGTTTTCATCCATTTGCCCATCTATCATCCATCCATCCATCCATCCATCCATCCATCCATCCATCCACCTTCTCCTGCTGGCACACTTCCCAGCTGCCCCTCTTGGGCCTTCTCCAAGTATCACCTTCATTCCTGGGCACCTGGTGGCTCTCCTGGGGCTTGGGGAGCGTTCAAAGCTCCAAAGCGTTCATGCTTTCTCTCCCATGAAGGAGACCTGGCTGAAAGGATAGAAGGAGAGTGGGGAGAAGTCCCTGGGTGGGATAACAGCACATGGCCGTCTCAGTGATGCATTCTATGCTAGGTGTAGGTGGGGACAGGGAGCCTCCAATCCCTTAGGTCACCTTGTCTGGACCCGCCAGCGGGTTCTGCTGAGCTGAGTCCTGCAGCCTGGACTCCAGACTCAAAGGCATTTTCCTGGCATCTTCCTGTGGTTTGTGTGGCACTCTGCAGACACAGACTCCTGGGGTTCTGTTTCCAGCATGACCCTGGTGTCTGTCACCTGCAGACCCACTGCCTTATGAGACTGAGCCCTCCTTTCTGATCATTTAGGGAGTCCAGGGACTTCCCCAAGCTTTGGGCTATTTCGGGGAGGGAGTGGGGCTTATGGTCTGATCGTCATCTCTGCTCCCAACCTCTGCTCCTGCTGAACTAGTTCAGTGTATATGATCCTTTTTGAGTCCGGACACTGCTGTCCCTAACGTACCCTAAATTGACCCAGACTTAGAAACCAGCCCCTTTCCTCAACTGTTTCCTTCATCAGCTACTCATCCATTCATCCAGCTACCCATCTTTCTACCTGTCCATCCATTTATTTGTCCAATCCATCCATCCATCCATCCATCCATCCATCCATCCATCCATCCATCCATCATCACTCATTCAAATATTTATCTACCCACCTATCCGTCTGTCATCTATCCAGCCTTCCACCCATGAGGACCTCAAAACACCCCAGTCGGGCCTCTGTGTGTTTCTGGAGGATTGTCTTGAAGTCTAGAGATGTCCTGTTGTCACCTGGCCCTCCTTTGTCCTCCTCGCTGATCACAGACTCCTTTATGCCCTTGGATGAAGCCCATTCACCTTCTCAGCCCTTGCTTGGTCAGGAGTTGTCCCCTTTCTTTATTCACTGAGTCAGTGACTCAGTGAATGTTTCTCTAGCACCCACCACATGCCAGGCAGTGGGGTTGGTCCTGGGGCTCCAGGGGTGAGCCAGACCAGATATGCCCCTACTCAGGTGGCACCTTCCATTTGGAGGGTGAGACAGGCAATAAGCAAGGAAATAAGCGCGTGACTATACAATTCAAGTTGGAGGAGGTGCTGAGATGGGAGAGGGGGAGCTGATACAGGAAAGGTAGTCCAGGAGGGCTTCTTGGAGGAGCTGACATTTAAGTCCAAAGGTAAGGGATGAGAAGGGGCAGCCACACACAGAGAGAAAGGGTTCCAGGTGGAGGAGAGGAACAGGGCCTCATAGTCACCCACATGGTACTGGATGATCTGTACAACCTCTGCTCAGAGGTGGCAACAAGCCCAGGGCAGCAAAATGCCCCAGTGTCCCCATCCCTCCGAGGTCCTTTGGAAGTTGCTGGGCTCCGTGTCTCCCCTTCCCTTCCCTCAGATCCCTCCTTCAAGTCCCCAGGCAGTCAGGGCTAAGGGCTTTGGAAGAGTGGTGGAGGAACTGGGGTGTGGTTGAGCGGCCGAGGTCCTCAGAGACCCTGAAGGCCGCCTCAGTGAGGTCTGGGGCAGTGGTGGTCTTTTCATTTCATTTTTTTGGCTTAAAGATCAAAGTTCAGGAGCAGGTCAAAGGGGGACTGCAGAGGTACCCTCTTTAGGGGTTGTACCAGACTCTGTGCCCCCATCAGCAGGCGAGCACCTCTTTCCTTTTTCCTGGGCACCACCAGAGGGCTCTCAGCCCCTGCGGCCTCTGCCCCACAGCGTGCCCCGGTCTGGTCTCCGTCTTCCCTTCCCCTCCCGTTGGCCTCCTCTCTGTCATGACATGCTCTCTGCTCCCCTCCGCTCCTCCTCTCCCTCACAGTCTCTGCCTGTCTCTCTTACTGCAGCTCCGTATGTGCCAGGCACACAGTAGACGCTAAATAATAACAGTAACACCAGCTCACATTTATTGAGTGCTTACTGTGTGGTGGGCGTTGACCTCTGTGTATGGCCTCATTTGTCTCAAATGTTTGTTGAATGAATAAGTTAATGAGTGAATGGTTGAATAAATGAATGAGTTGCTTTAACTTTTAGTCTGGTGTTCCTCCTTTATTTTCTCACTGCCTTTGTCTCCTTCAGTCTCCGTCTGGTTTAGTAAGTATTCCNTAAGTGCTTGGAGCATGGTAGGTGGCTACATGTGTCACTCCCCACCTCCATTCTCCCGGGACTCAGTTTATTCATCTGGGAATGCAAACAATAATCTCTAACTTCTAGAGTTATTATTTGGATTAAGACAGATAGAAGGTGCTGCGTGAAATGTACCAATGAGGACAGGCACTGCTGATGGTGGAATTGCACACGCTGGCCTTAGCCCTGATTCTGTCTAGGCAGTTAACTGTAGACAGCAGCCTGCTGTTGGCATAGGCTGGTGGTGGGGCAGGCTGGGGCAGAGGGAGGACCTCAAACTCGTTTTCTGCTGCCTCGGGCTCCCTTCCTCTGCTTCTGCCCGACCCATTCATTCCACGCTGTCTGCTCTTTCCTGTGACATGGTAACCTTGGGGTTTTGCATGGGGGAATGAGGTGGAGGGGTGCATGTATGGGTGGGTGGGTGTCCTGCGCCCTCTGGGCCTCAGCCTCCCTGCTGGGAAATGGGCCAGTGCCTGTCCTGACAGCCTGCCGGAGGTGGTAAGAGATGGAAATGAGGAAGTGAGAAAACCCTTTCTCCCAGCAGTCACGAGCCTGGCCTTGGAGCTGGGAGGTCTGGGTCCCAGCACCTGCTGTGCCCTGCCTGCTCTGGGCCTCATCTCCCAAGCTGTAAGTTGAGGGAATGTTAACAATAAAACAGCAGCCACCATTTGTGGCTGGGACTGTCCTCCAGGAGAGGGGGATAGGCTAGGGAGAAAGGACTCCTAAGGTTCCGAGGCCTCCCTCCTGCTGGGCTGGAGCTGAGTTGCATGTGCTCCCAGCGGGCCTGAGTCTGAGGGGGTGGGCTCCCGGGGCTGTGCCCTGACAAGCAGGGGTGAGGCAAGGGAAGGCGGGGCCTCCTGGGGCAGGGACTGGCATGTCTTTGAGCCCCTGCTGGGTGCCAGACCCTTTCCCTGTATTTAATCCTCATGATGTTCCTATGTGTCTCTAAGAAAACTGAGGCTCAGGGAGGGGAAGCCACTTGCCACTGAGCCAGGAAGAGTTATGGAGACTAATTCACATACCATACAACTCACCCTTTCCAAGTATACAGTTCAGTGGTTTTTTAGTGCTCTCAGAGTTGCAGATATCATCTCTATCTAGTTTCAGAACGTTTTCATCGTCCCAGAAAGGAACCCCGTACCCATTAGCAGTCATTNCAGGCTCCAGACACCCCCCTCAGGCACCAGCTCCCTCCGCCGCCCCAGGCCTTCCCTGTAAACCCAGGGAGTTGCCTGTGAGCCTCTCCATCCAAATCAGCCGCCTGCTATGTGCCGGGTACCAGGTGAGCCATAATTAACTGGCCTAATGACCCCACAAATCAACATAAAATGTCGAGAATTGTGTCACCTGCTACAAAGAAGGGTGTGTCTCAGGAAGGCCAGCCAAGGTCTACGCCTGAGGCTGTCTTGGGGCTGTTAAAGCGTCAAGAAGTTCAGGAGGGGCCATTGTTAGAGGCTTAAGTTACTTTAAGTGAATTAAGGGCCAGAAATCTGTGACCGAATCTGTGGTATATTTTTCACATATACCTTTATCAACCTGATTCTCTGAGCACCAACACAATACAATGCAGTATCATCAATGCAGTCAGAAAATTAAAAAAATTTTAAATTGATAAATGACCGGATTTATAAAAAATAATCATGCATGGTGCCCAGCCAGATGATGTCACCTCGTTTCGGGTACATACTTAGCGTTGTGGGAGGATGGGGGTTTCTCTCTGCCCTCAGAGGGTCTCAGTGTCGGTGTGAATAATCTCATTGGAAGTAACCCACATGGAAACCCTGGCCAAATGGCCCCTGGTTGCTTCCCAAGTGCGTTAGGCAAAAGTAGGGAGACTTGGGGAGACGGGGACCATGCAGCCTGCGTCTTCAGCAGACAAAGCAGCGCCATGTGGGGCTTGCCAAGGCCCTTGGCTTCTGAGTTCAGGACTGAGTGGGGAACCCTTAGCCTAGGATGGGAACCCCCAGGCAAGTATGTGTCTGTGCGTGAGCGTGGGCAGGGGACTCTAAGTAGGCTTGGGGGTGTCCCTGAAATTGCAGAGAATGTGTAGAGGGGGATTTACCATGAGGCCCATTAAGGAAGTTTCAGGGCCCCTCATTTACTCTGGCCCCTTCTAATGCTTTGGACCTAATTTTGAATTAATAATTGTGTTTGTTTTCATAAACAAGACCCCTAAATTGTATAAGCCTCAGGCCCCACAAAACCTGGCTCTAGCCTGGATTTCCAGTCAGAGGCCCATGAGCTCGTCTGTGACACTCCCGCTAGCCCCCCACCAAAGTTTGACAAAGCCCTACCCCTCCCCTGTGGGCAGAGCTACTCTGCCCCCTGGTGGTTGAAACATGGAACTGTGTGTCCCCATTTGGGAAGACGCTGTTCTTGGCATCTCATTCCAGGACCTAGGCCGGCAGCTCCCCACCCCGCTATAGCCTGGGTCTGGGGGTGTGGAAGCCCAAGTCCAGGGTCTAGTTCCATGCCCCACACAAACCACTTTGGGTTACCTGTGGTTTGGAATTTCCTATGGTGCCCAACTTACCCCTTCACTGAATGTTATTAACTCAACAAATGGTTATTAGACACCTACTATGTGTCAGGTGCTGCTTTCGGCCATGGGGTAAACAATGGTAAGTGAAGCAGACATGACCCTGTCCTTAAGTTGCTCAGTCTCCTGGGCGAGACTGATCTTGATCAAACAATCACAGAAATAAATGCACAGTTTGCACACTGTGATGTGTATCAACAAGAGATTTTATTGGTAGATTTGACCTAGCCAGGAAATTCTGGGAGGGCTTTCTAGAGGAGGTGACACTTGAGCTGAGTCTGAAGGAGTTGCAGTTACCCAGGTGAAAAGAGGAAGAAAGACTGGGGAGAGGGTGCAGGGTCAGCATATGCAAAGGCCCTGTGGCTCACCATGATCAGAGTTGTACTTGAGGTGACCACTCCAGCTGCAGTGTGGATTGAAGGAAGACCAGAGAGACTGGGGGAAAACAGTCAGATGCCTTGGGCATGCGAGAGAGCCAGTGGCTGGGCCAGGGGTGGTGTTGGTGGAGAAGGAGGGTGGAGGAGAGACTGGAGAAATAGGAGGTAAATCAATAGGACAGGCTGGGGTGGTGGTGGGGGGTGAATATGGGGGAGAAGGGAGGACAAGGACAAGAATGACGCAAAGGTTTTTGGCTGGCTGGGGACACCATCCTCTGAGAAGGGGACATAAGCAAGCTGGTGGTGGGTTTGGGGAGGGAATGATGATGAAGTTAGCATGAAGAGTTGCGAGTTGCCTGACAATTAGAAAATGGACAGAGGCCACTTCGAGGTTAGAGTTGTGGGGATTGTCTCTGGACAGAATCCCCAGGGGCCTTGGCCAGCATAGGGGCAGCCCCTCTCCCACTTACATAGGTGGGGAACTGGAGCCTGTTATTCATTCAAGAAATAGTTACCTGGTGTTGACTCTGGCTGGGCACTGTGGGTGCAGCCAGAGCAGCCAAGAATGAGGTCTGTCCAAGTAACCTCATTCCTGGGGGCACTGGGACTGAAATTCATGTCTCCATGAGTCTTTTGAGTTCTCCCCACTGATTTCCAGCATCTAGGGCGAGGTTCTTAATGTGTCTCGTATGGAATAGTAACGGCAACAGCAGTATTTATTGCGGACCCCTATCTGCTTGCTCTGGGCTCATCAACAAACATCTGTTAGCTCATCCATATCCCTTTGTGGCCTCAATTTAGCTAGAAAGGAAACTGAAGCACAGAAAAGCCTGCACAGAAATTGGGAGCAAAGCCAGATTTGAACCCCAAGGTGCCTGGCTGTGGAGCAGGCACCTCAGTCCACACCTGCTGCCCCCGCTCCCGCCCCCATCCCTGTATTGGGCCATTCCCAAGGCCCCCAGCATGAGTTTGCCCCGTGCTTGATTCACAAAGGAGTTTTCTTTTTCATCGTCTCACTCTTTTAAGGTATAAATCAACTCATATCACCATAAAAATTAATACAAGGGAAAGAAAATTGCAAAGGGGCATTAACAAGCGTTAGTGGCAGGTGTTAAGGACCCATTAGCTGCAGAGACTGACTTTATGAGAGAGATTTGATGATGGGATAAAACTTTGCTCATGGCGGACTGCAGTGTGATAATTGCTGCATCTGTGGTGCCCCCAGAGTTCTCTCCCAGCCTCCTAAGGTAAATCAGGACCACTGTGGCAAGTAGTCCGTACTTTGGGGAACACTGCACCCCCTCTGCTCCCCTCTAGGGGCACTAATGTAAATGCTTCATGGGAAAAGGATCTATATTCAAATAGGGGGTCAAAGGCTGCCTGCTGTGTCCATTTTAGAGGGTCACAGTCCTCGTTAGCATAGTAAAGGCTCTCAGAAGTCCTGTAGTCAAGAACTATGGCTGGCTTTGTTCAACCCAGCATTCCCCACATTTATTTGATTTTTTTTTTTTAAGATTTTTATTGGGGAATTGGGGGGATGGGAACAGTGCTGGGGAATTGGGGGAAGGGGAACAGACAAGTTGCTGTCGTTTTGTTCTTCAGTCCAGTTGTGGAGGACGTTGCTTCACTGGCCCAAGTTGGCACCATCATTGCGCTCTTCCCGGGCGAGGCAAATCAGTCACCGGCTTCTGGACGGCCGCTCACAGTGGCTGCTGGCCACACACAGCAGCCCATGGCAACCCACTGCCACAGGGGCTGCAGCCTACGCCGTCGCCGGTGACTCACAGCAGCCCAGCTCCAGGTTGAGCTGTTGTTCAGCATCTTAGCTGTAGAGGGCAGTGTCACTGGTCCTCATATGTGGGATCCGAACCGGGGCCCTCTGGCGTCCCAAGCCAGTTCTTTACCATCACGCCACTCGGCCGGCCCTTATTTGATTTTTAAAAAAGATTTTATTGGGGAGTTGGGGAGGGGAACAGTGTTGGGGAATTGGGGAAGGGTAACATTGTGTTTTTCCAGGACACTTCATCTCCAAGTCAAGTTGTTGTCCTTCAATGTTAGTTGTGGAGGGTGCAGCTCAGCTCCAAGTCCAGTTGCTGCTTTCACTCTAGTTGTGGGGTGGGGTTGGGGTGGTGGGGCGTAGTCCACCATCCTATGCGGGAGTCGAACTGGCAACCTTGTTGTTAGGAGCACGTGCTCTCACCAGCTGAGCCATCTGGCCACCCATTGGTAGCTCAGCTCGGGCACAGCTCACTGGCCCATGTGGGAATCGAACCGGCAACCCTGTTGCTCAGAGCTCGCGCTCTAAGCAACTGAGCCACCCAGCAGCCCTTATTTTAAAATACCCTTCAAATCTGCTGTGGTAAATACCCGTCTCTGTATAGGCTGCAGCTTCCCACATTTCAAAGACCTTTGGCCACTTTGAGTTTATTTGACCCCCTCAGCTGCACGGGGAGCAGGTAAGGAACAGGCTCAGAGAGGAGTTCTGGCTCCCTGCCCAGGGCCCCGTCCCCGGCTGCCCAGGAGTTCCTTCATCCTATACGTCTGTCCCCCCAGAGCCATCCACAGGGAAGACTTGCCTGCCCAAGGCCCTGCTGAACTTGAGCAACGGTCGGAACGACACCATCCCTGTGCTCCTGGACATCGCGGAGCGTACTGGCAACATGCGCGAGTTCATCAACTCGCCCTTCCGGGACATCTACTACCGAGGTGGGGCCCAGCCCAGGCAGGTTGGGAGTGACATGGGGAGTGGGGGTGGGGCACCCACCGGGCTTGTCTGACCTCCCAGAACTCTGGTCTGGGCCCCAAGCGCCAGCATGTACCTAGAAACGGATTGTTGAATGAATGAATGAACAAATGAAGGAACAGTAACCACCCCTTCCCACTCTGATATTCTGCATTTCAGCAGCAAAGGTGCCAAGATGCTGAGATGCACTGAGCCTAGTGATCCTTGAACTTGAAATCCTGGACCTAAGATGCTCTGGCTCCAGACACATTAAGGCTCTATGATAATAGTTCTGTGAGGCCGGCTGAGTGGCTCAGTTGGTTAAGAGCTCGCTCAAGAGTTTGAGCTCTGAGCAACAGTGGTTCGAGTCAGCCCGAGCTGAGCAGCTGTGAGCTGCCAACAGGTGGCAGGATGGCTCAGCTAAAAAAAAAAAAAAAAAAAAAAAAAAGTTCTGTGCGCCAACAGGGCTGAGAGGCAAAGGTGTCACGAGTCCCAGCTCCCGGGTCTAAATTCTGAGGTTCTATGAATCAGGCTGGACCTTTCAGATCCCCGAATATGAGGAAAGTCTGTGAATTTTATATCCCGAGTCCAAAATTCTGTGAGACCATGATGCCATTGTTACTCTAGGATTAAAACCTCTTGTGAGTTTGAAAGGTCCCCAGATCCTACAAGTCAGACAGACACCTTTTGAGCCTAAAATTCTGCTTGCAGACCAAGGACTTCCTGCATCAGAGATGCCACACCTGGAAATGACTGACTGAAAGTTCATTGCTGTCTTTGGGTGGAGCTGGCCAAGGCTCTGGCTTGCAGCCCCCACCCAATTTTCACACTGCACCCCACTCCCTTCAAGCTGGGTCTGGTCTCTGCAGTGCAGGAGCCTGGGGTAACTGTCCTCCCACCCCCTCCCCAGGTCAGACCGCCCTCCACATCGCTATTGAGCGCCGCTGCAAACATTATGTGGAGCTCCTCGTGGCCCAGGGAGCTGATGTCCATGCTCAGGCCCGAGGCCGCTTCTTCCAGCCGAAGGACGAGGGAGGCTACTTCTACTTTGGTGAGGAAGCCTGCTGGGGCTGGGGGGTACATGGTAGTGTCCACAGCCCTGACCCTTCCCCAAATACCCAGGACACAGGCCGTGTGTTGGTCTTGGTCTCTGAGGTCTGGCCTTTGAGAGACAGAATGTCAGCTCACGTCCCTGATCCTCAGCTTCCCCATCTGTTCAATGGGGATCATGACAGGGTGTTAGCACCCCACACCTTTTCACGTGCACCCTTTAGTCCATTGTACGCTAGGGTCAATGATCGGATAGTGGGGCCCAAACTTCATCACCGTTACGTCCCAGTTGGACCAAGGAAAGATTCTGAATTTCACCCCCGCTTAGAGGCATGTGTTATGTGGGGTTCAGGGACAAAGTCCCTCAAAGAATCTCTCACAGCCTCAAAATCGCATGGCCATGCCCCCAAATAGCCACACCTCATTGCCTCAGCATCACCCACAGAAATGTGCAGGCGCTGCAGGACATGTTCCTGCTGACTGTCGGTGCTGCGTCCAGTGTCATTGTGTCTGTACCCCAAGTGTCTGCAGGCAGAGCCCCACCCTGGGCCCCTACACTGACCCCCATTCACCCCGGCCCTCAGGTGAGCTGCCCCTGTCACTAGCTGCCTGCACCAACCAGCCCCACATCGTCAACTACCTGACGGAGAACCCCCACAAGAAGGCGGACATGCGACGGCAGGACTCCCGTGGCAACACGGTGCTGCATGCGCTGGTGGCCATCGCGGACAACACTCGCGAGAACACCAAGTTCGTGACCAAGATGTACGACCTCCTGCTGCTCAAGTGTGCCCGCCTCTTCCCCGACAGCAACCTGGAGGCCGTGCTCAACAACGACGGCCTCTCGCCCCTCATGATGGCTGCCAAGACTGGCAAGATTGGGGTGAGTGCAGGGCCCGGGGGCAAGGCCAGCTCACCCACTCTTGTTCCTACACACACACACACGCACACACACACACACACACACACACACACACACACACAAGACTGGCAAGATTGGGGTGAGTGCAGGGCCCGGGGGCAAGGCCAGCTCACCCACTCTTGTTCCTACACACACACACACACACACGCACACACACACACACACACACACGCGCGCGCACACACACACACACACACAGGAGGGGCGGCTGCTGGCATTCATCATTATTAATACTCACAACCCCCTCTCACCATGCCAACCCCAGTGTGCAGATATCCCAGCTCAAGAGCCTGCTATAGCTCCCTATTATCCAGCCAAGCTATTCAACTTTATCCCAGAGCCTCTCTCACTCCACTCCACTGCATGCTTCCAGCCCCGCTCCCACCTGCCAGGCCAAGATACTGATAGAAACCTAGCCCCAGGGCTCCAGCCCTGCAGTACTCCCCTCTACCCTACTTCTGGGGCCCTGGTTTAGCCCCTCACCTACTGAGTGGCCCTGCACCAGTTCCTTCTCCTCTCTGGGCCTCACAGTATGGGGCCTAGACCAGGATTTCTCAGCCTCGGCACTACTGGCATTTGGGGCTGGATGGTTCTGGGGTGTGGGACTGTCCTGTGCATCTTAGGATGTTGAGCTGCATCCCTGACTTCCATTTAGATAGATGCCAGTAGTACTCTCCACCACTGTGACAGCCAAAAAATGTCTCCAGACATTGTCAAATGTCCCCCAGTGGGACACCATCGCCCTGATTGAGAACCAAATCTGAGTGCTCTAGAGTCAGGAGCACCTGGGTCCAGGGCCTGGCTCTGCCACTTTTCAGCATGTGACCTCAGGCATCTTACCTTTTCGCTCTGCCTCAGTTTCCTCATCTGTAAAATGGGCATATTGACATTGCCCTGTTGTATAGTGTTGTTCTGACAACTAGATGAGGTAATCCACTTAAAGCTCTTAGTACAGAGCCTGGGATGGGTAATAAGTGCTCAATAAAAGGTAGGCGTCATTATTACTCTATTAAAAACATAGCAAAAATTGCTACAATTACAATTTATACCAGAATCTTGGGGCAGTGGGAAAGGCCTAGGTTTAAATCCTGGCTTTGTCCTACTAAACTTTATGGCCTCAGGAGACTCCCACCCCTCTGTTCCTCAGTTTCTCTGTGTGTAAGCCAAAGAGTAGGAGTGGTAGCAGGAAGGACTGGTATGATAATCATTACTAGAATGAACATATTAGCGAGATAGATTAATTGCTGTTTTAATTACATAAAGAAGATATTCATTACAATTCAGATCTTTAAGGCTGGCCTGGGTTCAGTCTGGCTTCAGCTGACTGCTTTGTGGCCTCAGGGAACACCCTTCTTTTCGCTGAGCCTCTGTTTGCTCATCTGTACACCAAGATGGTAAGAGAAAGAATTAAACAAGGGTATCAGAAAAGGGCCCGGCACACAGCACATGCTCAGTAAATATTTCCCCTCCCATCTCTCCTGCTCTCTGGGGAGGCACCGTTTGGTGGGCTGCACCTGGCCTCCCGGGGTCCCTCTAATGGCCCTCCCCTGGACCCCCTGATCCTCCCTTTTCCTATGCAGGTCTTTCAGCATATCATCCGCAGGGAGGTGACCGATGAGGACACCAGACACCTGTCCCGTAAGTTCAAGGACTGGGCATACGGGCCTGTGTATTCCTCGCTCTACGATCTCTCCTCCCTGGACACGTGTGGGGAAGAGGCCTCCGTGCTGGAGATACTGGTCTACAACAGCAAGATTGAGGTGGGCACCAGGGCATGGGACAGGGGACAGGGCCCAGGGAAGGAGGGGTGCGACTGAGGGCAGGGAAGGAGGGGGCTGCATGGGGGAGCTCAGCCTCTGTAGCCCAAAGCAGTGGGCCTGTGGGCTGAGTACAAAAGAAAGTGTGAACTAAATGCCCAGAACAGCATTGGCACTGGGGGGAGGGGAAATGGGAGAATTATAGGGGCTGGGCTTCAAGGGCAGGCAGGACTGCATCGGGATAGTGGCTTTGTAAATTCCATGCTGTGTGACTCAGGACAAATGACCCAACCTCTCTGAGCCCCAACTTCCTGTTTCGAAACACGGGGATAAGGATAGTGCATATCCCATAGGAGGACCAAATGAGTTAATTTTAGAACAGCCTGGCACAGAGTAAACATTACATGTCAGCTATTATCATTAGTACTTGTTATATGAAGTTTTGAAAGCTCTTTTCTTCACTTGGCAGTATTTTGTGAACATCGTTCTGCACCATTAAATATTCTTCTGCAATATCATTGCTGTGTGTAAATGTACCACATTCTAATTAATGAGTCCTCTATTCTTGGCCATTGGGTTTGTTTCTGCATTTAACTATTAGGAATAATACTGCAATAGCATCTTTGTGGCTACATTGTGGCACAGATCCATGGTTATAAAGAAACAAGTCATTAGCGGGATAGGATGCTGTACAAACGAGGCAGAAAGTACTGGGGCCTGGTTGCAAAAGGTCTCCCTTCCAGCCCCAGCTCTGTCCACCTTGGATGGATGCTGTCCCTTGTTGGAGCTCACTTCTCTCATCTTTAAAATTAGTGACCGACTTGATTTCAACTGAGGGTGACAAAAAGTGTAGCGCCTCTGGTGCAAACTCTGATTGATTGGTAGTGTCTGCCTAGGGAGCTGTATATAGAGAACTGTTGTGCAGGACTCAATTATTGATGTCTGCCCTGGGTTTGCAATTAGAAAATTGTGGTGAATCAAGTGTTTATCGCCCTTAGGCTAAATTTCCCAATCCCGCTTCCTGAATCAAAATTTCTGAGATTGAAGCCCAGGGATTTATATTTTTGGCAAGCTATGTAGGTGATTTTTGCTACCAGAAGCTTGGTACTATCCACAGATTGGAGTTTGGGGACCATAAGAATAACTTTCCAGCTCTGGGCTCTGTGAGTCTAGAATAGGCTGGAAAGGTAAGTTGGCACAGAACTGGGCAGAGCCTTGAATACGGAGCCCAGGAGTTTGAGGCTGATTCTGAATTCCTATCAAATCCCCTGTGAATCTTTGAGTGTCGCTGAAGAATGGGTTAGGAGGAGAAAGTGCTGTCAGGGCAGAGGGTGTAGGAAGGCATACTAGAATCAGCCCGTCCAGTGGGAGGGCGGTCCCCAACCATCCTGCCTCCCACAGAACCGCCATGAGATGCTGGCCGTGGAACCCATCAACGAACTTCTGCGTGACAAATGGCGCAAGTTCGGAGCTGTTTCCTTCTACATCAATGTAGCCTCCTATCTGTGCGCTATGGTCATCTTCACCCTTACTGCCTACTACCAGCCACTGGAGGGCACTGTGAGTGACCATGAGATGGACAGGAGCTGGGGCACAGCCAGGTCCCCATGGGTCCCCTGTGGGAGAGATGGAAGAAAGCTTAGGAACGGGATGGGGAGGTGCCCACCCCAACACCCGGGGGAGTAGAAGGAGGGAGAAGGCTCCCCGGAATCCACATATTTGGGGCATTGGGGGAACATCTGGAATCTGGGGCCAGATGTTGGAGGGGCTGGGTGAGAACCTCCATATCTCCTGCCCCTAGCCGCCATACCCTTACCGCACCACGATGGACTACCTGAGGTTGGCGGGCGAGATCATCACGCTCTTCACGGGGGTCCTGTTCTTTTTTACCAATGTGAGTGCGTGGCTGTCTACCCCACCCACCCTGCCCGTCCTCTTCCTCCGTCTCGACGTCTTTTAGCTCGCCTCTCCTCCTCTCTCTTCTTTCTCCTCTCCTTCCTCTTTTTATTGCCCTCTTCTTTTCTTCCACCTCATTCGTCAACCCTGTGCTCTCCTTCTCTGCCTTTTTCTCCTTTCCCAGTAGAAAAGAGTCCCTTGTCTTTTCTCTGTACAACTCTCTGCCTCCCTCTCTTCTCTCCCTTGCTCTTTCTCTCCTCTTCTCTGCTCTGCACTCGTGCTGGCTCCACCCTTCTCACATGCCTCCTTCCTGCCTCCAGATCAAAGACTTGTTCATGAAGAAATGCCCTGGAGTGAATTCTCTCTTCATCGATGGCTCCTTCCAACTACTCTAGTAAGTGGAGGTCCCTGGGCTGGCAGCTTCTGGGTGAGGAAGGTGGGGTTGGGCTGGGGCATCCTCCAGATTGAAGGGGGGCACTGACTCTATTAGGAATGAATTCACCGAGTCTGGACAGCTATAGCCTGAAGTCGGGACAAGGCCAATCAATGTCAAGCAATAGAGTCTTTTGATTAAAGCAAGACTCTGCTTTCTAGAGAGTTAACCATATACACCATGGGTAGAAATAATGTAACCTCTTATGCTGGTGATGGATTGCTAATGTCTGCCTGGAGTGCCGTGTTGAGAAGAATCTTGAGACTGTGGCCGTGCTTAATGGCAAAGAGTGCTGTGATTGATTAATGATGTCTGCCTAGGGCACAGGATTTGTTACAGCATGTGTGCTACATCTTCTTTCTTTCCCTTAGAGTTAGAGAACAGTGAAATTCACTTAGTCCCCACATCTCCACTGAGCACCACTGAATCTTTCTCTAGCAATTCCAAAGGGCATCACTTTGGGATCTTGCAGGGCCTCAGGGCCATTGCACACACAATAATTGTCAACTAACTGAGTGTTCTGGTTAACACAATGCTGGGGAACCCGCAAATTCACTTTGTTTATTTTCTGGGGGTCTAGAAGGCATCGGGATGTCCTGGTACCCTGGAGGGCTTGAGGCATGTCTCTCCCTTCAAGGCCTCATTGTCCCCTCTCCCCTCTGGTCCCTCTCGTGGTCTCCGCTGGCTGTAGCTTCATCTACTCCGTGCTGGTGATTGTCTCGGCGGCTCTCTACCTGGCGGGGATTGAGGCCTACCTGGCCGTCATGGTCTTTGCCTTAGTTCTGGGCTGGATGAATGCCCTTTACTTCACCCGTGGGCTGAAGTTGACGGGGACCTATAGTATCATGATCCAGAAGGTATGGACTGTGTGTCCCTGGAGGGAGTCACACACACCATGTGCACATCTTATGTGTGCAGACAGTGCCTATGGACCTGAGGTTGTGGGGCACCGTGGGGGCGGCAGGCAGGGCCTGGACCTCAGGGAGGGACAAGGGTGGAGCTGGAAAGAAGATTTGGGATGGAGGCGCTGGGAAAGGGAGAAACCATGTGTCTCATCTTTGCCTCCATTATCCTGCTGGGGTCTGTAGATCCTCTTCAAAGACCTGTTCCGCTTCCTGTTGGTGTACTTGCTCTTCATGATCGGCTATGCCTCAGGTGAGCCCTGGGTGCCCAGGTGGGCCTGGTGCGGGTGGCGCAAGGTCTAGAATGGCAGCCCTGATGTGCGGAGGAAAAGAACTAGCAGTTGTTGAGCTCTCACTGTGTGCCATGCACTGGGCTAAATCCTTTCCCAGCTGTGTCTCATTTAATCTTCCCAAGAAGGTTGCAAAGTAAGTACTTTATGGTCCCCTTTTACAGATGAGGAAACTGAGGCTTAGGAAGGTTAAATAACTTGCCCAAGTTCAAAAGCTAGGGAATGGTAAAACTGGAGTATTAGCTATCGTTGCAAAAGAAGCCACCTACAACTCAGTGGCTTAAAACAACCATTTATTATTTATTGCTCACAAGTCTATGGGGCATCCGACCTGGGCCAGATTTCACTCATCTCGATGGGCTCCTGTGTCTGTGGTCAATGGGCGGGTTGTCTCCCGGCTTACTAGTCTCACTAGGAAGGCCTCAGTGGAGGTACTTTGCTCCCTTCTCCATGGTCACTCATCCTCCAGCTGGCTAGCTTGGGCTTGGTCACGGGGTGGTCCGAGGGTTCCAAGAATGTGAGTGGAAGCGTCCAAGATCACTTCTGCCATGGTCTATTAGCCAAAGCAAGTCTCAAGGCCCGCCCTGGTTCAAAGGGCGAGGAAATAGACTTCACCTGTTGATAGAAGGAGCTTCAAAGCCATACTGAAGGAGTGTGGATAGAGGGGAGGGTAAATTTGAATAATTAATCTACCAGCCCATATCTTTTTTAAAGCTTAACACTGGCTCCCTCCAATATGCTGACATGGAGACATGATGTCATGATGCCATGAGACAGTGTCACAGGCTGTAGGGGAAGGAACAGAGATGGGGAAACTGACCAAGCCATTGGGCTGGTTCCCAAGGGGTGGGTGATCTGCCATGCAATGCCCAACATCCAAAAGGGAGTGGCCAACCCAGCTTCACCAGGCCACTTCCACATCTGAGGAGGTTGGTCTGGGGACCAGCACTGAAGCAGGAGTCTGATGGTGGTAATATTTTAACCCAGATGGTGCTGAGACTGCCTGGGCTATTTTGGGGAAGCAGAACTGTAGCCCTAGCTAGGGAGAGAGGAACAGTGTACAACTGCCTTCTCCCAGGGATAGGACCTGGAGGAACTAGACATAGTGTCAAGAGTTCCACAACGGTTTGGGATTCAGGTCACATCCAGCCCTACTGCAGTCCTAATTATAGAAACTGAGGCAGAAGCTTAGGGGTTCAAGTGGCAACTTAGGGGTCAGCTTGGTCCTAGGGCTTCTCCTGTGCAGGACACTAGATCCCTAGTCTGAGGCTGACACAACACAAACATGACACGTGCTGCTGTTCCCCACTTTTGTGTCCGGGGCAGACATTGCTAATGGATCACAGAACTATTTTTTCCGATCAGTCCAGACAAAGTCTCAGAATCCTAAACACACATTTCAGCAGCCACTCCGCAATTGAGTAGCATGAGCATGCGAATTGAAACCTGTGTGCCATAATCCCAGGCTGAAGGCTCTATGACCTTCTATGCCCCACTGACTGAAAGGGCTCCTGCCTCCTCATGCTCCCTGCCCTGGATGGTGTAGGGGTAGTCATTGCTGCTAAACTGTGTTAAGAAGGGCTCTGAAGCTTCGTCTGGGCTTAGTGCGAAGGGATGTGCGCCATGATCAGTTTGAGATGCCTGGAGGGGGCGAGGGCATTAGTGAACATGGCTTCTGGGACAGTCAGGACTAGCACCTGGTTTCAGGTTCCGCTCTTCCTCTCTGAGCTGGTGTGGGCCAGGAAACAGGAACATGAGAGGGAGTCTGCCCCCCCCCTCGGAATGCTGGCATTCTAGGCTCCCAAGACCTCTAAGAACGATAGGCTAGATTAGGGTTTCTCAGCCTGAGCACTGTTGATATTTGGGGCCAGATCATTGTCTGTGGAGGGCTGTATTATGCATGGTGGGATGTGTAGCAGCATCTTTGGCCTCTACCCACTAGGTCTCGGTAGCAGTCACCTTCAGTTGTGACAACCAAACATGTCTCCAGACATTGTCAGTTGTCCCCTGGGCGAAAAAATCGCCCCAGGTTTTCAGCTGCTGGACTCAACCCTGGGAACCTCTTCCTTGTTAGCAAGAGTTTGTGGAGAGAGCAATGGCTTTGGGTTCAGGAAGGCCCAGGTCTGGCCCTTGGCTTGGTTTACATGCTGGGTAACCTTGGGCCAGAGCTCCCCCTCCCCCAGCCTCAGCTCCCTACTCCCTCCCCTCCAGCAAATGGGAATGATTCTGTCCACCTCTCAGTCTGTGTCTTCACACTCAGTGAATGCCACCCTTGTCCCGCCCACAGCCCTGGNCCCCGGAATGCTGGCATTCTAGGCTCCCAAGACCTCTAAGAACGATAGGCTAGATTAGGGTTTCTCAGCCTGAGCACTGTTGATATTTGGGGCCGGATAATTGTCTGTGGAGGGCTGTATTATGCATGGTGGGATGTGTAGCAGCATCTTTGGCCTCTACCCACTAGGTCTCAGTAGCAGTCACCTTCAGTTGTGACAACCAAACATGTCTCCAGACACTGTCAGTTGTCCCCTGGGCGAAAAAATCGTCCCAGGTTTTCAGCTGCTGGACTCAACCCTGGGAACCTCCTCCTTGTTAGCAAGAGTTTTTGGAGAGAGCAGTGGCTTTGGGTTCAGGCAGACCCAGGTCTGGCCCTTGGCTTGGTTTACATGCTGGGTAACCTTGGGCCAGAGCTCCCCCTCCCCCAGCCGCAGCTTTCCCCTCCAGCAAATGGGAATGATTCTGTCCACCTCTCAGTCTGTGTCTTCACACTCAGTGAATGCCACCCTTGTCCCGCCCACAGCCCTGGTGTCCCTCCTGAACCCGTGCGCCAACATGAAGGTGTGTGACGAGGACCATACCAACTGCACGGTGCCCACGTACCCCTCGTGCCGTGACAGCGAGACCTTTAGCACCTTCCTCCTGGACCTCTTCAAGCTGACCATCGGCATGGGCGACCTGGAGATGCTGAGTAGCACCAAGTACCCCGTGGTCTTCATCATCCTGCTGGTCACCTACATCATCCTCACCTTCGTGCTGCTTCTCAACATGCTTATCGCCCTCATGGGAGAGACGGTGGGCCAGGTCTCCAAGGAGAGCAAGCACATCTGGAAGCTGCAGGTGAGGCCCGAGGACTCCCAGCCCCACCCTGCCAACCACCCTTCTTCCGAGATGAGGAGACCTGATGCATTGCACCTCCTCTGCCTTCTGCTCCGGGCAAGCCACCTCATCTTCTGTCTCTACTTCCCTGTCTGTAAAAAGAGCATCGAAGGCCGATGCCTACTTCCCAGAGCCGCCCGTTGCGTTTGCAGTGGCTTCTTCCCTGACCACCAGCAGTGGTCTCAGATTCACCTCGCGGTCCAGCTCACAGGACATGGTTGGCTTCACCCAGCACCATTGAGTGAGCTCTGTGGGCACAGGAAATTCTCAGGGAGCATCGACATTGCAGCAGGGGTCCACGCTGAGCCCAGGGGCAGCTTCTCGGCTCCGCCGCCCCGAGCATGCTCCGTCATAGAGGAGGAGCCGTGAGGACTTGGGCCTCATTGGCACAGGGGAGCTGCTGCTTTCTTCCCGAAGGTTTCTGCACAATCCTAGAAGGCAGAGGCCCTGGGGGTCACAGCCCACGTGAGCCACGCACAGTTCACAAAGCAGGGGGTTCACAGTAAACAGTGCCATCCCGAGGCCCAGGCATGCAGCACCCACATTTACCTTGACTCGGTGCCTTTCACGGAAATGACGCAGTGAGGAGAAAAATACCCTCCTCCCAGGTCTGGTCTCAGAGAAACATTTGGGCCTGCTCTTAACCGTAACTGTACCACTTACTTCCCGGGGCCTCAGTTTCCCCACTAGGTGTAACTCATAAGGTGCAAGCTGGCAACCTGCGGAGTGCATTTGACCAGCAAATATTTACTTTTCTTGCACTACCATATTTTTATTTTTATTTTTATTTTTTTTTAGCTGAGCCATCCTGCTACCTGTTGGCAGCTCAGCGGCTGCTCAGCTCGGGCTGGACTCGAACCGCTGTTGCTC